GAAGAAAGCCAAGAATCTTTATGACTCCTAAGTAGTAAGCAATTCTAGGAAAGCAAGCTAGGGAACAATGGCTGGTTATAGATATGTTTCCCCCACCAGAGTTCTACCTCGTGGCCCTTTATTCATCTTATAAAGGGCTGTCTCACCAGGACATTGTTAATTAAGAGGTAATTTGGCCAGCTTATGCAGAAGGGTTAGGGCACCAAACCCCACACCTCAATCCTTTACAGATAGGTCCTCTGCTCTCTGGCCCTGAAGAACAGGGAGGAGCCCTTTAAGGGTTGCTAAGGATTTCAATGTCAAGGTCAAGGAAAAGAGTAACAGAGTTTTGGCTGGGCCCTGTGGCTCACGCCTGTCATCCCAGCACTTTGGGAGGCTAAGGCGCGAGGATCGCTTGAGGCCAGGAGTTCAAGAGCAGCCTGGGCAACATAGCAAAACTGCATCTCTACAAAAAATAAAAATTAAAAAAATTTCTCAGTGGGGTGCTCAAGGTGGTAAGTGGTTGGGGTGTCCTGGCCAGGCTGAAGGGCTGGAGCTTCTGGGCTGGGTGCTACAGGATGAACTCTGCTCCCACCACCCGGGCCAGGTTTCCACTGCAGCCAGCGAACAGTCAGTGGCCACCCTGTGACAGAGGCAGGGTCCTACTGAAACCGCCCTTTATAAGTTAATAAGGGTGCAAGGTGAGAACTGTGCTAGGGGCCTAAACTCTACAAAGGCACAGGCATAGTTAAAAATGATAGCCAGCCATTGTCCCCTAGTTTGCTTGCCTGTAATTGCTCCTCAGGAGTCACTTAGCTGGTGGTCATAGAGATTCTTAACTCTCCCCATAGATACCATCGCCTTGTGAAACCCGAGGCCAGCTTTAGAGATAAACCAGTGGCCCATGACAAGGAACTGACTCAACATGCCTGTGACCCCTGCCCAAGAACCGACTGGGCAAGAAGACAACTTCTACACACCTATGGTTCCACCCCAACCCAGCCAATTAGCAGACCCAATCGCCTAACCCTTTGCCTGCCAAACTATATTTATTTTTTTTATTGTATTGTATTTATTTATTTATTTATTTTGAGACAGAGTCTCACTCTGTTGCCCGGGCTAGAGTGAGTGCCGTGGCCTCAGCCTCCACTCACAGCAAACCTCCAACTCCTGGGCTCAAAGCGATCCTCCTGCCTCAGCCTCCCGAGTAGCTGGGACTACAGGCATTGCACCACCTTGCCCGCTAATTTTTCTATATAGTTTTAGTTGGCACAATATAATTCTTTCTATTTTACGTGAGACGAGTGCGGGTTCTCGCTCTTCTCGCTGGTTACGAACTCCGTAACATCAACGAGCCGGGATACAATTAGCCCACCTCACCTGGCAGTCTTTAAAACCCTTTCTCCCAAATGCTCGGGGACATGGATTTGACAACTTCCTCTTGTCCCCTCGCCTGGGGGCTGGTGGTTAACCCTCTTTCACTCTGCTGTGACCCTGCTGTACCCAGCGGAGCCTTATCAGCTCCTCTGGCGCGCTGCGCGGTCTGAGGAAGGGGAAGCTGGCTTGGTCATGTGGTAATACAGGACGCGCAAGGACACGCGCTAATGTTACTGCTGGTCGTGCGACCTTCCTCAGGCGCTTTATGGGGTTATGGTTGCATTTGCCACTGCTGCTTCCTGTGACAATGGGCCCGGTTTCCCTCACCGCGGTAGACTGAGGAAGAGTGAGGCCCGGGACTACGAGATCCGAGCGCCACGCCCTGGCTACATCTGCGTGGACACAGGTGGAATGCTCTCCACATCTTGTGCCGCCTCCCGCCAAGAGAAAACCTGCGGGCTCCGTGCCTGTTCGCACACGCCAAACTGATACCCAATGGATTTTTACATTTTATTATCTTAATTTTTATTATTTATATTTAAAAAATTATTTTTTTTTTTTTTTTTTTTATTTTGGACAGGAGTCTCGCTTTCGTTGCCCGGCTCGCGTGGCTGCGCTGGCGTCAGCCTAGCTCACGCTCCACTCCTGCCTGCTGTCTTCTGCCTCACCTCCCCGCCTCGCACCTTGGGACTACAGGCATGCCCACCATGCCCGGCTATCTTTTTCTTCTTCATAGTGCGCGGATAATCCCGTGGCTAATTCTTTCTATTTGTACTAAGTAAGCCAGCCGCGGGTCTCGCTCGCGCTGGTTTTGAACTCTGACCTTCGAGCAATCTCCGCCTCGGCTCCAAGAGACTAGGATTACAGGCGTCGGAGCCGGCACGCCCTCATCTCTTCAACTCTCTTTTGAGACACGAGTCTACTCTGTTCCTGGTTACGCAGTGCCGTCGCTGCATCGCTCCGCTTCATCAGCAACCTCAAACTCCTGGCCCAAGCGATCTCCATCCTGCCTCAGCCTCCCAAGTAGCTGGGACTACATAGCCATGCGACACCGTGGCTGCTCATATTGTTTATTGTACATATATATAAATATATACTACCATAATAATATAATTATATAATATACGTTCTTTAGTTGTCCAGCTAATTTCTTTCTATTTTTAGTACAGATAGGATCTCGCTCTTGCTCAGGTTGGTTTCAAACTCCTGACTTCGAGCAATCCGCCCACCTCGGCCTCCCAGAGCGCTAGGATTATAGGTGTAAGCCACCACACCCGGCCTCATTTTTATTATTTTTAATTTTTAAATTCTGTTAGAGATGGGGTGTCTCCACGTCGCCCAGGCTGGGGTGCAGTGGCCGTTGAAGGGCGCAGTCATTGCGCACTGCAGCCTCAGACTTCTGGGCTCAAGCGATGCTCCCACCTCAGTTTCCCAAGTACACACTGGGATTTTTGCCAGATCTCTGTACCCCTGTGCTCTTTTCCACCCCCCAACACTTTTCATGTGATATGTGATTCTAGAATGGATCCAGGACCAGGAAAAAAACACACACACACATTGTTTTAAAGGACAGTATTGGCCGGGCGCAGTGGCTCACGCCTGTAATCCTAGCACTCTGGGAGGCCGAGGTGGGCGGATTGCTCGAAGTCAGGAGTTTGAAACCAACCTGAGCAAGAGCGAGACCCCGTCTCTACTATAAATAGAAAGAAATTAATTGGCCAACTAATACACATATAGAAAAAATGAGCCGGGCATGGTGGCGCATGCCTGTAGTCCCAGCTACTGGGGGAGGCTGAGGCAGCGGGATTGCTTGAGCCCAGGTTGAGGTTGCTGTGAGCTAGGCTGACGCCACAGCACTCACTCTAGCCTGGGCAACAAAGCGAGACCCTGTCTCAAAAACAAAAGAAGAAAAAAAGGACAATATTAAGACAAATGAGAAAGTTGATCATGGACTATTAGGACTGTTTATTGTCTCAGTGTGAAATTTCATTTATGTTGTGGTTATGTAAAAGAATGTCCTTTCCATGGGAGATTGGTGCTGATGTCTTTAGGAAAGAAGGGGTCCAGGGCCTGGGACACACTCAAAGGGCGTACAAGCGCGCGCACACACACACACACACACACACACCCATAGATAAATGGGGCCAAATGTTAACAATCGATGATGCTAGGTGACGGGCATGGCGGTGTTCTTGCAACTTTACTACGTGTTTACAAAGTGATGTTTATTCAGCTGGGTGCAGTGGCTTGTGCCTGTAGGCCCAGGTGCTCAGGAGGCAGAGGTGGGAGGATCCACTTGAGGCCAGGAGTTCTAGTCTAGCCTGGGCAACACAGTTAGGACCCATCTCAAAGCAAAACAAACAAACAAAAAAGTGACATATTTCAAATGGAAACTTGGTATCAATTCCAGAATGGAAACTTGGTATTACTGTAGTAAACATTGTAGATATAATGAAACAATTAAATCGAAAAAGGCTGTTAACCTTTGTTAGGCTCTGGGCCTAAGGCCCGTTTCCCCCTTTGTCACACAGGAAGGTTGGCAAGCTTGAGGTGTTAGTGGCCCGCTTGCACCTGTGGGGACCTTCATGCTGAGATTCTGTACACCGGGGAAAGGGCATTGCTGTTGTTACTGAGGGTTTTGTCTTATTTAACATGACCTGTCTGCAGCCCCCCAGAAGAGAGGCTCTGCCCAGAGTTAATGGGCCATCTAATTACTGCGACCCTTCCCCTGGTTTCCAGAGTGTGCCTTACCGCATACTGGGTTTTTTGTTTATTTGTTTTTTGAGACAGAGTCTCACTCTGTTGCCCGGGCTAGTGTGTCATGGCATCAGCCTCGCTCACAGCAACCTCAGACTCCTGGGCTCAAGTGATCCTCCTGCCTCAGCCTCCCGAGTCGCTGGGACTACAGGCATGCGCCACCACGCCCGGCTAATGTTTTCTATATATATTAGTTGGCCAATTAATTTCTTTCTATTTTTAGTAGAGACGAGGTCTTGCTTTTGCTCAGGCTGGTTTAGAACTCCTGACCTCGAGCAGTCCTCCCGCCTTGGCCTCCCAGAGTGCTAGGATTACAGGCGTGAGCCACCGAGCCCGGCCTGCATACTGGGTTTTATTTGCTTCTTTTTTATGAGATTTTTTTTTTAATGTATGTGTATACACACACACGCACACACAGAATTTTTTTTTTTAGAGATGGGGTCTTGCTATGTTGCCTGGGCTACACTCAAACTTCTGGGTTCAAGTGATCCTCCCGCCTCAGCCTCCTGAGTAGGTAGGACTACAACTGCACGCCAACTGCTAATTTTTTTTCATGTTTTGTACAGACAAGATCTCGCTCTGTTTCCCAGGCTGGTCTTGAACTCTTGGCCTCAAGTGGTCTTCCTACCTTGGCCTCCCAATGTGCTGGGATTACAGATTACAGGCGTCCTCTGAGTCACCCTGCCCGGCCCCTTCTGTACTTTTAGAAGCTCTAAGGATATCAGGATACCATGCTTTCCTGTGATCACGGTGGTGACAATTTTCCAGAATGGTCACAAAATTTCAGTCCCTGGTAGATGCATCCTCAGTGGCATTTTCACGGTGGCCAGGGCCTGCAGTTGCCTGCCCTCCCGTCACGAAGCTTTCTTCTCACCCTAACTTCCCAGCTCAGGTGTGTCTGTCGGCCGCACATCAGGTGACGATGGCCTCCAGGTGTATCACCCAGGAGACCTTCGATGCAGCTGTGCTCGAGAACATCGAGGAGTTCGCCATGGGGCCGGAAGAGGCAGTGAAGGAAGCCGTGGAGCAGTTTGAATCGCAAGGTAGGTGGCATGACTGTCACCTGGCATGCCTGGCTCTGAGATGCAAGAGCGAGGGGGCCCTCCCTCCCAGTGCCTGGCGTGGCAGCCGGGCACTCGCTGGGCCCCATCCCCTCCCCACACGGCCCCAGGCAGGCCTGCCCCCCTGCCCCCACCTCATTCCCACCTCTCTCTGCTGCCGCCTCACCCAGGTATTTATGGGGCTGGAGCCTTCCTGGGGGTCTCACTGTAATTGCGACTCCCTCAGAGAAGCTTTCTCTGACCCTGGCTTGGGAAGCAGGGCCATCTGCCTCTCTGCCCCACCTGCACCCCACCTCAAGCTTACGGAGGCAAAAGGGGGTGTCAGTCACCAGCCGGTGGAAACAGGTGGCATCCCCACACCGGGCCATGGAGGAGAGGGGTCACCAGGGGGCTGTTTGCAATGGTGCACACAGGGTTAGGGGACCCCCGCCGGCCACAACAGGGACCCCAAGGGCCACAGCAGAGAGCAGGAGTTCTGAGCAAGGGTTACCTGACAGGTGGCAGGCCCTCAGGTAGAGGCAGGGAGCAGGGAATAGACACCGCATTTCCCTCCTGTCCCCAATCTCAAGTCCAGCTCCCCACTGCAAAAGCCCCATAACCAGAGGGCAAGGGCGCCAGGGGGTCAAAAGAAGTCAGAGGTCAGCCTCCCAGGGACAGAATGCGGTGTAGGCCCTGGACAGGGGCTGGCGGAGTGACCAGAAGTGTCCAGCACAGTAGGGGCTTCCCATGGGGTCCCAGCAGGGGTAAGAACACAGCCAGGGCCAGGAGGGATGGAGTCCCAAGGGAGAAGGCTGTGGGGTCCCCTGCCCTCTCTCAGCCCACCAGGCTGAATGCGCCACCTCGTGCACAGACATGGCGTGTGGTAACGCAGCCTTGCTTGGCGATGGCCTCATTACTACTCTGCTCCAGTTGGCTGGCCCAGCCACTCACAGCCTGTAATCCCAGCACTCTGGGAGGCCAAGGCAGGAGGCTTGCTTGAGGCCAGGAGTTCAAGACCAGCCTGAGCAAGAGCGGTAGCACATGCCTGTAATCCTAACTACTCAGGAGGCCGAGGCAGGAGGATCGCCTGAGCCCAGGAGATTGAGGTTGCTGTGAGCGAGGCTGACGCCACGGCACTCTACCCCCAACAACAGAGCAAGACTCTATCTCCAAAAAAAAAAAAAGGGGCTTCTGGAGTGAGGCGGTCCCAGCAGAAGGGACATGAGTCGTGACTCCAGTAAGCCCACAAGGTTGACAGCTGTCACTTGTTTTCTGACCACCCCCCTCCCCCCACCCTGGCAGGGGTCGATCTGAGGAACATCGTGAAGATGGCACCTAAAGTCTCCGCAGATGGACTCCAGGAGCCCGCGCACGGCATCCTGCAGGTAGGAGCGGGCAGCCCGTGCAGCGAGTCCTGCGTCATCACTTAACAGCCCGTGTGGGGACACCTCTTCCCTGTTTCCCGGACGATAGAACCCAGGCTCTGAAGGTTAGAGGACTGCCGGCATGCATGGGCAAGCTCGAGTTTGCAGCCAGGTCTCCCCGAGTCTGAGTCTGAGGGCAGCACACACTCCGAGCTGGGAGCGGACGGCATGCTCTTGGTTGTCCCCGGCGCTGGGAGCCTGGGGTCAAGGGCGCCGTGGAGAAGCCTTTCGGGCCTCCCAGAGAGAGACGGTAGTCATGAGGCGGCACGGCTGGGGGGCTGGCTGTTCGCTGGCACTTGGATGGCGGGTCAGCTCGCATGAACCTCCCCTGACTTAGTGGTGGGGAATTGGAGGCCAGCGGCTGGCAGTCACCTCTCTAGTGACCCAAACAAGGGAGGTACAGCTCACAGAAGCTCGGTGCTTCCCGTAAGGTCACCCACCAAACTCGGTCACGCGGCCAGAGGCCCTAGCGCTTGTTGAGAACTGACTGTGGGCCGGGTTCTGCGCGGGCACTCTACGCTCTTCCTGCCCTCTCGGTCATTCTTCAAACATCGTCGCCTGCGAGGTTGGGGTGATGATCCTCGTTTTACAGATGGGGAGATTGAGATCATAAGAGAAAAGAATGACTCCCTTTGGAGCTAGGGAGCGTAGCATAGAAGAGGAAGTTGGAGGAGACGCCCTTGACCGTAAACCCAGCTCTGCCTACGGTGAGGAGCTTACTTCTCCCCGCCTTGAAGAGGTATTGGTTCGAAACCGGCCTGACCAAGAGCGAAACTCCGTCTGTACTAAAAATTGAAAGAAATTAATTGGCCAACTGAAAATATATAGAAAATATGAGCCGGGCGTGGTGGCGCATGCCTGTAGTCCCAGCTACTCAGGAGGCTGAGGCAGGAGGATCGCTTGAGCCCAGGAGATTGAGGTTGCTGTGAGCGAGGCTGATGCCACGGCACTCTAGCTCGGGCCACAGAGTGAGACTCTGTCTCAAAAAAGAAAAAAAAAGAAAAAGAAAATTGCCTCCGTATGGTTGGGTTTTTTGTTGCGGTTGTTTTTGCTTTTGTTTGCTAGTAAAGATGAATGTATTTGAAAATGAATTTGTCTTCTGGTCCTTTTGGGTATTGGGTTATTCATCTTTTCCTTATTGATTTGTAGGTGAACTTTATATGTGAAGGATCTCAATAACGATAGTCTCTTGCACTCATTGCTTAAGTACTTTAGTGCTCAGCATTGTGCTAAATTCCTAAAATGTGTTCCCTCTATCTGTGATTAGCCCATTTTGCTGATGAGGGCTCTGAGGCTTCCCAAGGATCAGTGACTCACCCAAGGTCACAGAGAGGGGAACCTAGATCTAGGTCCCAAGGAAGCCACTCATTGAGGGACTATGCCATATACTACCAGCAGTACAAGAAAGTCCTTGTTTGTTTACAAACTTTGCACTTTTTTGTTATTAATTCTACTTTTTATTTTTTGAGACAGAGTCTTGCTCTGTGGCCCAGGCTGGTGTGCAGTGGTGTCACCATAGCTCACTGTAACCTCAAACTCCTGGGCTTAAGTGATCCTCTCACGTCAGCCTCCCAAGTAACTGGGACTGCAGGTGTGGATCCCACCATTCACTGTTAATTTTTTTATTTTTTGTGGAGACAGCATCTCTCCATGTTGCCCATGCTGGTCACAAACTCCTGGCTTCAGGCTGTCCTGCTTTGGCCTCCCAAAGTGCTGGGATTGCAGGTGCAGTGGTTCATGCCTGTCTTTTTGTGACTAGCTCGTTTTACTTAGTATAATGACCTCGAGGTTCATCCGTGTTGTACCATATGTCTGAATTTACTTCTTTCTGAAGGCTGAATAAAATTCCATTGTGTGGATGGACCATGTTTTGTTTATCCATTAATTTTGTTGATGGACACTTGGGTTACTTCCACCTTTTGGCTATTATGAATAATGCTTCCATGAACGGGGTGCACAAATCTCTCTTTGAGACTCCGCTTTCAATTCTTTGGGGTATATACCCAGAAGTGGAACTGCCGGATCGTGTGGTAATTCTATGTTTAATTTATTTTATTTTTTGAGATGGGGGTCTCACTGTATTGCCCAGGCTGGTCTCAAACTCCTAGACTCAAGCTATCCTCCTACCTTAGCCTCCCAAGTAGCTGGAACTACAGGGCACACACTACTGCACCCAGAAATTCTATATTTAATTTTTTGAGGACCCTCCAAACTTTTCCACGGCAGCTCCAGCATTTGACATTCCCACCAACAGTGCACAAGGGTTCCAATTTTTCTGTATCCTTGCCAACACTTGTTATTTCCTGATTTCTTTTGACAGTGGCCATCTTCATGGTTGTGAGATAGTATCTTGCTATAGTTTTGATTTACATTTCCCTAATGTCTAATGACCTTGAAAATCTTTTGTTTAGTGGCCATTTGTATGTCTTCTTTGGAGAAATGTTTATTCAAGTCACGTGCTCTGGCGTTAACTTGTTTTTTGACATTCTGTTGCATCGCAACATGCGCTCAGTTAAGTCCACAAATCTGAGCTCAGCGAGGGTTGGCCATCAGGCACCTTTGTTTCTCGTGTAGGTTAGGCCAAATCAAAGCCCTTTGTGCTGACGGTTTGTGCAGAACCAGCCTTCCGCGGGCTGGGTGCAAGTGATATGATCATAAGCTATGGGCGCGTGGATTCATCTTTGGCTCATGCCGAGGCATGTCCTGAGACCCTGTAGGTGAATGGCAGCGAAACCGGTCTGCCCTGTTCAAATTGTTTTTTCTCTCATTATTTTTTCCCCTGCAGCTTAGAGTTGAATTTAGGTAAATCAGCTCTGTGCATAGTATAGTTTCATTTGGCGAGTGCTCAGAAAATATTTGTGGAGTGAGTGAGAGAGACAAAAAGGAGACATCCAGGATGAGCAGGTCTGCTGAAGGTGGCTTTTCTCTCTCTGGTTTTGCCGGTTAGTTTGGGCTGCATAACAAACAACTTAAAACAATGGCTGTTTTGTTTCCTATGATTCTGCCTGGTTGACTGTGCTCAGCTGGATGGTTCTTCTGTTGATCTCACTTGGGGCTTCTTTTTTTTTTTTTTTGAGTCAGAGTCTCAACTCTGAAGCCTAGCTCACAGCAACCTCAGTCTCTTGGGCTTAAGCAATCCTCCTGCCTCAGCCTCCTGAGTCGCTGGGACTACAGGCATGCGCCACCACGCCCGGCTCATATTTTCTATATATTTTCAGTTGGCCAATTAATTTCTTTCTATTTTTAGTAGAGACGGGGTCTCGCTCTTGCTCAGGCTGGTTTCGAACTCCTGACATTGAGCGATCCTCCTGCCTCGGCCTCCCAGAGTGCTAGTCACTTGGGGCGTCTTAATAGCACTTAGGGCTGGAATGTTTCACATGTCTGCACTCATGGATGCAGCTCCCTGGCAAGGACACTGAGACGGCTGGGTCTCTCTCTCTCTGGCCTCTGAAGTTCAAGGCTCCTAAAAGCACGGCTGTGGAGGCTGCCAGGGATGGACCTGGCCCCACATCATTTGCCCACAGGCCCAGATCCCAGGGGAGGGAAGCCCACAGGGGTGCAGATGCTGTCATCAAAGCGCTGGGCCGAGCTGGCACTGAGGCTGCTCTTGTGTCCCCCAGGCCCTGGACGACCTCCAAGAGTCCGTGGCCTGCTCTCGCCCCCAGGAGGCGCTGGCCCACCTCACCCGCTTCTGCGACCAGTGCAAGCAGGACAAGGCCTGCCGCTTCCTGGCGGCCCAGAAGGGCGCCTACCCCATCATCCTCTCCGCCTGGAAGCTCGCTGCAGCGGGTGACCAGGCCCTCCTGCTCCAGGCCCTCAACGCCCTGTCCGCACTCACCGACGGCCAGCCAGACCTCCTGGACGCCCAGGGCCTGCAGATGCTGGTGGCCACCCTGGCCCAGCACGCCGGCGCGGCCGACCTGACCTGCTCCGGCATCCGCTGCGTGCGCCACGCCTGCCTGAGGCACGAACAGAACCGGCAGGGCCTGGTGGAGGCCGGCGTGCTGCCCCTGCTGACCGGCGCCATCGCCCGGCACGGCCGCCACGCCGACGTGGTCCGGGAGGCCTGCTGGGCCCTGCGCATCATGACCTTCGACGATGACATCCGTGTGCCCTTCGGCCACGCCCACGACCATGCCAAGATGATTGTGCAGGAGAACAGAGGTCTGAAGGTGCTCATCGAGGCCGCCAGAGGTAGGAGCCGGGGGCCAACACGAGCCCGTGAAAGCAAGGCGGGCGGACAAGCGTGGCAAGAGTGAGAGTCGGGGCCCGGGACCGCTTCGGGCGTGGCGGCTCCAGGCTCCACTTGCAGCCCCACCTACGTGGCAGCACCACTGGAAAAGCGTCTCCATTCCCCACTGGCTCCAGGAGGACTCCAGGCCAGCACTCGTTGGCCAGGAACAGGTCCCGTTCCTGTCTCTGGAGCTGTCTGGGGAGGGGCAGGGGGAGCTCCCCCAAAGGGAAACAGGAGGGATGGGGAGTTCGGCTGGCAGCACTCACCAGAGCAGCCTTCGATGGAGGTTTACACTTTTGATCACGTTCAGCTACCAATTCGTGTGCACGTACACGTGCCTGGCTCTAGGATGACCACCGTTAGCCATCCAAGGGGGGGGCCACACCCTGACCCCCGCACCCCCAAAGCCTCTGTCCCCACTCCCACCCCATCTGTCGCACCTACCAGAAAAGGCCTGCCTGAGCTCCAGCACACGGAAGGTGCTAGAAGAATGAGTTCCCCTTCCCTGCCTGCCCTGTGGCTCTTGCTCCATGGCCAGGCCTGTGTGTGGGATGCCAGCTCTGTCTGCCAGGGAGGCGGGCCTGCCTCAGTCTCCCTTCCACACCTCCAGAGAAGCTGGAAACGGGGCCCAGCCATCTTCAGAGTCGGGCTGCTTTTCCGGGAGGCTGTTTGCATCTTTCTTGTTTATTTATAGGAGCTCCAAGAGCTAGGGTCTCACTAGAGAAGCAGGATATGTATGTATGAAGGGACTTTTTTTGTTTTGTTGTTGTTGTTTTAAGAGACAAGGTCTCACTCTGTCACCCAGGCTGGAGTGCAGTGGCGCAGTCGTAGCTCACTATGACCCCAAATTCCCACGCTTGAACGATCCTCCCACCTCAGCCTCCCAAGTAGCTGGGACTACAGGCCTGGACCACCACGCCCAACTAATTTTTTTATTTTTTGGAGAGAATATTTTTTGGAGTCTCGCTATGTTGCCCAGGCTGGTCTTTAAAAACTCCTGGCCTCGAGCCATCCTCCCTCCTTGGGCTCCCAAAGTGCTGGATTACAGGTGTGAGCCACTGCACCCGGCCTCGAAGGGATTTTTTTTGTAAGGAATGGGCTTGTGCAGTTGTGAGCAGGTGAGTCTACAACCCACAGGGCAGGCTGGAAACTCCCGGGCAGTCCCAGGTGGAGTTTCTTCCTCAGGGAAACCTGTTTCCCGCCGAGCCTTCAGCTGATGGAGGGAGATCCCTCCACATCGCTGGGGGCCATCTCTTTTACTGAAAGGCAGCTGGCTGTGGGCACACACAGGACACCTCCCTGGCAGCACCCGGAGGAGCACTGGGTGGAGCACTGTGGCTGAAGGCCACAGCCCAGCCCGGTGGGCACACGGACTGACCGTCGCGGGGCTCTGTGCGAATCATGGATGTTTGCTTAGTTGGCCTCGGCGCGGGCGTCGGCTTCCCGGCGCAGTGCCTCTGCGCCCCGTCTGTGACTCAGTTTTGCTCACGTCAACCCGGTCCATATGTTCTAGAGTTTCCTGTTGCGCTTAGAAAAGCCATTCCTGCCCCAGGATCGTAAAAATAGTCTCGGATGTTTTATTTTGGTGCTGTTATGGTTTTCTTTTTTTAGGTGCCACCGTCAGTTGGTCTGGAATGTATCTGGGGCACGGCGGAGGAGGGAGGGCACAGGGTCCTGTCTTCCCCAGCGGCCAGCAGGGGGCACCGCAGGCCCAGGCAGTGCTCCCTGGCGTTGGGGGGGCCCTCCTGGTGCAGGGGCAGAGGGCCGGACTCCCCAGGCGGCCCAGCAGGATCCATGTGGAACCCAAGGGCACTGGGCTGGGTCTCTCCACTCTCCCCGGTCCCCTCACCTCTGCCTGTGCTTCCCCCCCGCCCGCAGCCTTCCCCGACAACCCCGGCGTCCTCAGCGAGCTCTGCAGCACCCTGTCCCGCCTGGCTGTCCGCAACGAGTTCTGCCAGGAGATCGTCGACCTCGGGGGCCTGGGCGTCCTGGTGGCCCTGCTGGCCAACTGCAATGACCACCAGGTGGGGGCCCAGAGCCGTCTCTGGGTGCAAAGCCCCTGGTGGCCCTGTGCACTCTGCCCCCCGGGTCCCGGCCAGCAGGCCGAGCCGCAGTCCCAACCAGCCGGCCCCGTCCGCCAAGCCCAGAGCCAAAGTGCAGCCTTGTCACTGACCAGTGGACAGGAACCGAAGCTGGGAGGAAAACAGACCCACCCACCCTGCCGCCGTGTCCTTTTGTACCAGGAGGTGGGAGGATCAGGGCCGGGGGTGTCGGCCAGAACTGGGCCCTGACCCTAGCGCATAGTGCATGGGCGAGGCCCCACCCTTCCCTGCCTCAGTCTCCCTGCCCGCAGAACAGGGTGAGGCCCTCTACTCGACTCCTTCATCTAGCAGCCACTTACCGACCCCTTCTCCGTGTGCCCTGCTCAGGGCAGACAGCAAACCCACACGTGCCTGCTCAGGTGTGGCTGCAGGAAAGGCCTGGGGCACCGTGGTCTTCTGCCCCCGAGCCCAGCGTGGACACCAGCCAGGGGCCCGTGCGGCTGCCAGGGAGCTGAATCTAAACTGGCTTCAGCACATGGGAGTGCTTTTGCTTGCAGTCCCGGACGGTTGGGGGTGTGGGCCTCGGTTTCCCTCCCTCTCTCTGCTCTGCTCCCCACTGGGGCGGTCAGCGGTTCCAGCAGCATCTCGTTGGCTGTCCCCAGGTCAGGCCGGTCAGCGCCCACCCTGCACCTGCAGCCGTAGCCGGGGGGCCCCGTGCGCTGACGCCGGCCCGAGTCACATGTCCCTCTGGCCCTACGGGAGATGGGGGTCAGGTCGCCCAATGGCACATCCTGGACAAAGGCGGCCGGGACCGCAGGCGTCTGTCTCCCTCCCCTTCCTCCTCCGAGAGAGGGGTAGCGGTCCTGCAGCCGCTCCTGGCCTGTGGGTCGCGCAGCACAGCAGCCCCAGGCCCCTCCTCCGACCCCCACCGCGGCCCGTGCCCGGCGCAGCGCAGGAAAGGGACGCCAGCTGCGGTGACCGCCGTGCTTTGCCTCCGTGCAGGACCTCGTGAAGCAAGTGCTGAGCGCCCTGCGCGCCATCGCGGGCAACGACGACGTGAAGGACGCCATCGTCCGTGCTGGCGGGACGGAGTCCATCGTGGCCACCATGACCCAGCACCTGGCCAGCCCGCAGGTACCCACCTCGGGACCACACAGGGTGGAGGGTGCTGGGGTCCAGGCCCGGTTTGCGCATCCGCGTGAAGCTCCTGCCTCAGGGCCGGGAGGTGGGCGTGGGGAAAAGGTCTGGCCGGGGCCAGCGCCCTCCGCACCCCTGAGAGCCGGGCCAGTGTTTTTGTCACCCAGCTGTCATGCTGCTGTTACACGTGAGCTGACAGAGACCCGCTGGAGGGAGGTCACGGGCACTCACGGGTGGGGGGGGTGGCGGCCACAGCAGGCCGACGGGACGCGGGGGTCTGTCTGCTGCGACTCAGCTGTCCCGTGACCGGCCCCGCAGGTGTGCGAGCAGAGCTGCGCGGCCCTGTGCGTCCTGGCCCTGCGCAAGCCGGAGAACAGCCGGGTGATCATGGAGGGCGGCGGGGCGCTGGCAGCCCTGCAGGCCATGAGGGCGCACCCACAGGAGGCCGGCGTGCAGGTGCGCAGGGGCGGACGGGGGGCAGGTGGGCAGGTGGGGCAGGTGGGCAGGAGGGGCAGGGCACAGGCTCTCCCTGTCCCTGTCCCTGCCTGAGCCTCACGGGGCCTCCTTCCTTCCCGTCTTCCAAGCTGTGCTGCGTGCTGCCCGGCACTGTCCCCTTCCTGTCCCCCACGCTCTCTGCCTTTACTCTTTTCCTCTCCTAACCTCTCCTCCTCCTCAGGCTGCCGTCTGAGCTCTGGGCATGGGACGTGCCGTCCCCACCTCCATGGCCGTGTGTGCCCCCCCAGCCCAGACCCCGCCCTGCCTCCCGCGCCCCAGCACAGGGTCCGCAGACACTCCAGGCCCCGGCCCCAGGAGCCTTTGCTCCCGCCGCTCCCCACCCTGCAGCACGGTCCCCTCGACTGCCCGTGGCCGCGTCTGCTCCTGAGCACCCTGGCCGGCAGCTCCTCGCCCACACCCGCTTCTCCTCCGCTCTCCGCTGCGGGCGGGAGCCACTGGGGCAGCAGCCTGCACCCACCCCAGCCGAGGCACGGGGCACACAGACAGATGTCCGCCCGACGAGTGTCCTGCTGACAAGCGGACCCCGCGCACAGCCACCCTCTGCCCACGGCCTGGCCGCCCCTCCCCTAGCTCTGCGCCAGCCTCGGGGCCCTAGGGTTGCCCCTTGCCAGCTTGGAGGCTGAGAGTCCACAGCCATGGCATCAGGCCCAGACGCTGCCCCCCGTGCCTGTGTCCTTGCCTGGGAGATGAGGGCTTTGGCTCTGCCTCCCAGGGCTGCCGAGAGGGTAGAAAGGGGAGCTGGGTCTAGGCTGGCACAGCACAGGCACCACTGAATGCCAGTCACAGTCATCCTCATCCCCATCCTGTTGTGAGGAGGGCCCCGAGGTCAGAGTGGACCCTCACAGCTGCTCTTTCTCCCAGAAACAGGCCTGCATGCTGATCCGCAACCTGGTAGCTCGCAGCCAGGCCTTCTCGAAGCCCATCCTGGAGCTGGGGGCCGAGGCGCTCATCACACAGGCCCGAGCAGCCCACCGCGACTGCGAGGACGTGGCCAAGGCCGCCCTGCGGGACCTGGGCTGCCGTGTCGAGCTCCAAGAGCTGTGGACAGGCCAGAAGGGTGACCTGGCACCGTGACCCCAGGCCCAGTCTGGGCCGAGACTCTGGGTGAGTCGTGTGACTCAGGAACTGGGTGGAGATCCACATTCTGCTACTCTCCCCTGCCAGGTCTACCCCGCCACAGCCAGAGGTGTTTTCTGACAGGCCCTGGGTAGACCCTGGGGGGAGGGGAGGTGGGGGAGGGGGCACCTGTAAGGCAGGAAGCAACCCTGGGTCCAGGCCTCCCCTTGCCAGCCGGCAGCATTGGCGTGATCGTCCTGCCCTTCCTCCCTGACCTGAGTCCCTTTCCTGCCACAAGGGGCGAAGGGCACGCCCCACTGCCCACCGTCCTGTCTGAAATGTGGGAGCCAGTGTGGGCCAGTCTTGGAGCAGGGCAGGACATCTTGGCAGAGGTGGGATCCCTGGTGCCTGCTCCTACGAGCTCAGGCCTCTGCTCCTCATTTTTCCCTCCTGTAAAATGGGTCTCAGATGCCTTGCTTAGCCGGCCAAGGGCCAGGGACCCCGGCTCGTCCGTCTCCAGGTCACAGGCCAGCCGCGGTGCCTGATAATAAAAGATCACTGGATGGACGTTGGAGGGGTCTCCTCCGTAGCCTGGGTGGACGTCAGGGGCTGCGGCCAGTGGGCTTAGAGGACAGGGAGGGACGGACATATGGGGAGGCCGTCCGGTCGGGAGGACAGCGAAGGGGTTATATGATTATATAGCTAGGATGCGCGATCTGCTGTCACCCTCAGAGAAGCAGGCCGCAGAGGCCACGCTTGGGGTCGCTGTTTCCGAGAGTGCATCCGTCTCCGGGGGGCCAGGGAGCTCAGCATCCAATCCCCAATCAGCTCTGTGGCCTTGAGCCAGTGACTTAACCTCTCTGAGCCTCAGTCTGATCCCCCTAAAATGGGGAGTGGGGCAGTGACGATCCCTCTCCGAGAGGTGATGGAGCTGAGCCGGGCACAGGAGGGACACGTGATTGTGTGGCGCACACACACACCCCCCTCCCCGTCTGAGCCTTACTTTCCCACCTGTAGGATGCACGTCACCATTGCTGCCCTCATGCCCACCACACCCCGCAAGTGTTCTGGGGGTCCCCAAGCAGCTGTGGCACTACAGACCCCAGCTCTCGTGCTCGGAAGTCACACTCCGAGGTCACACCACGGTCGCCAGGCAGCTTGTGTGGCCCGACTGGCTGGGGTGGGGGCAGGCTCAGGACCCCTGGTGGTGCCCGAGCATCAAGGGCCCCTCCTCTCTCCGCCCCGCCCCCACCGCTTGTCCCGTGCCTCCCTGAAGCCCAGGACAGCCTGGGCCCTGTCCTTGACCTTGGCGAAAGCTCTTTCCCAGAAGGCCCCTGGTTTCTGTGGCAATTGGCTGATACAAATAGCTGGGCTGTGGGGGGGGGGCATCGACCTGGTGTCACCTCCCTGTGGTGTCCCCATCCCCCCCAGTGGGGAGGGGTCTGCCCGCCCAGGAAGGCCACCGTGAACCTGTGACCACGTCACTGGGGACTCCCCCAGATGTGGGAGGAGGATCTGGAGCCTGCCCCCGACTGCCCTGGCTTGACTTCTGGGCCCCACATGTGTGTGACCTTGGGCAGTGCCATGACCTCAGGCACATGTTCCTGTCACGTGGCAGAGTGGGTACTACGGGCAGGCAGCCCTGTTGTTCCTGCCCCAGCCTTGCTCTCGAGCTGCCCATGGCTCCCCATTGCTCGCCACGTGAAACCCACCCACACCTCATGCCCCACAGGCCCAGCGTGGCAGGGCCCTGCCCCCCTCCCACCCTCCTCTTCCCAACGGCCCCTCATCCGCCGTTCCTGCCACGCTGGCCTCCCCGCCCTCAGACAAGTGCGCCCTCCGCCCGGAGCACCCTTCCTTGGCCCCCCCATGGCTGGCTCCTCCCAGCACCAGGTTTGAGCTCACACATGGCCTCCTCAGGGAGACACCCAGCACGTCACCCGACGGCTGTCTGACCTCTGGCTCCATCTGAGGTCACCCTGTTTGTGTCCTCTGCTGTTTGTCTTGCCCTCGCCATTGGCAGGCTCTCTGCGGGCAGCTTTCTGTCCCTTTCCTGTGCCCTGGCTTCCCGGAAACGTGTTTGAACTTGCACCTGAATAAACTGAGCGCCACACGGGGTGTCTGGAGGGAAGGCCTCTGCCAGCGGCCTCCCCGGGCTCCCCGCCAGCCGCTGGCTTCTTCAGGAAGGAGTGGCTTGACTTTATCTGTCCTTCCCACCTTAGCCTGAGGAAACAGTTGCCCTCAGAGGGGGCAGCTCCGCGTGTTTGGACAGCCCCAGGCTGGGGGGAGGCCCACCCCTGGCTGAAGACCCCACATTTCCCTGGGGTTGGTGGCCTGGGTTTCGGTTCCTGCTCAAGCACCTCAGCATGTCACCTCCCCTTTGTGAGCTTGGCTTCCTCGTCTGAGCCCAGCTTGGGTCTGTCACTGTGCAGGGCCACAGCCCCCAACAAAGCCCGGCTCAAGAGGTGCCCAGCACATGGCGCCCGCTCCTCTGACAGGCAACCCTTGCTCTGAGGAGCGCTCAGTGACCTTGTTAGTGACATCAGGATATGGGCCGAGGGGGAAACCGCTGCCGGGTGGCATGAGCACATTCAGGCTGTGCCTCTGCTGCTGTGCACTCTTGGTTACGTGGCCCGACTTCTCTGAGCCTTGGGAGGTGAATGAGACCACTTTGACCCCAGTTTGGCTTGGTGGTTGTCACTGCGTTTTCAGGACATCCCCCTCCAGCCAGGCTTGGTGTCAGGCTCCTGGGGCAGGAACGCAGCTGCCTTTTCATTAGGAACACCCAGTCTGAGGCTGGGCTATGATTCCTGTTTTCCAGATGAGAAACAGACTTGCCTGCATTCGAGCGGCTGCAGGGGGGTGAGGTGCCAGCTCAGCCTGCCTCCACACCCCTCCTCTTTTGCCAAGTCGTTAACCTGACCTTGGGCAAATGGCTTTCTGGCCCTGGGTGATTAGGCCCTGACAAGGCATCAGGGTCTGGCTCACAGACAGCCTTCTTGTCAAATGAGTCCTGGAATCCCCAAGAGGTAGAGGAAATAGGAGGGCAGAGAGGCAGTGTCCTGCCCAGGGCCAGGCAGGACAAAAAAAAACCAGAAGAGCTGGGATCCCGGGCACCCTAGCTGGGCTCAGGCGAGGCACACACGGTGGGGGTGTCATTTGCTGTTGCCAAGGGGTATTGCCTGCCGTTGTTGGAAGGCGGCAGGGAGTTTGGCTGGCACCAGCCTGCTAAGAAAATGAACAAAAGCCAGAACCCAGCCAGCACCTCTGGCACCATCGGGAGAGGCAGCCTAGTCCTGGGCCACTGCCCGACCCTTGCCTCAGTTGGCACTATCCCCAGGGGCACAGCGGGGCTTTCCAAGAGCTTTATTACCTCCCTCCCATGGCCCGGCAGGTGGGCACTGGCAGTGGGGGCTCCTCCAGCATAGATACCTCTTTCTTGATGTGGCAACCCATGCCCATAGTTGGTCTATGTCCATGAAGTGTGATTCACAGAGAGGAACAGTATGTCACCAACATCTGGCAAGTGCTTACTGTGGACTAAGCCACTGCAAGGATTTTGCTTCCACTTCTTCAATGCTCCCACCAGCCCTGGGGGACAGCTGGGGAACTGAGGCAGGGAGTCTGAGTCTCTTGCTGAAGGCCCCGTGGCCAGCAAGTAAAAAGCAGCAGGGATTCAAACCCAGCCCTGGCTCAAGTCACCAAAAGACACTCTCCACGAGAGGCTCAGTTTTCTCATCTGCTAAGTGGGCACTGTTGCCTCCACCTAGAAGTGAGGTGGTGTCGGGGAAAGGCCCAGCCCAGCAAGGACAGGGCGCCCCGTGTTTAACAGACCTCAGCTTCCTCCTCTTCTCTGGAGGCCAAAATGGGGCCGGGTCCTGGGAATTGCAGGAAAGCAAACCCCAGGTGGGAGGTATGCAAGAGGAGGTCCAGGTGGGACTCTCAGGAGTCCGCTGGTGCCTCAGACTTGTGGCTCCGAGGTGAGTCAAGTCCTTGCCATTTGAAATGTGGATCAGGCACTTAGCAAGGGGCTTCCACAGCCCTGAAATGTGAGCCCTTGCCAAGACCTGTCTCTGCCTTACTGCCTCCCAGAATTCCCTGTCTTTGAACTTGATCTCCACCAAGCCTGGCCTGCACCTAGAGGAAATAAGAGCCGATACATGGGAATGTCTGTGACCCCCTCCGCCCTGAAAATCAAGGGTGAGTCAGAGAACAGGGTGGGCTCAGGGGAGGGGCCAATGACACAGCCACCCACAGGACAGCAGGCATCTCCCTAAACTGCAGGCCTGTCTACAAAGCAACCTCAGGATCTGCACTTCACAAAGAAGCTGAGGTTCAAAGGCCCAATGTGACCTGGTAAGGGTCAGATGCTTTCCGAGAAGATTAAAGCGTAGCTGGGATATAAATTCTTCCAAGGGAGCAGCCCTAGAGAGGAAAGATCAAGGTTAAGGCATAGAAATCATTTTTTCCACTTCCCCAGTGAGGAGGCTGAGGCCTCACGAGCGCTTTGCCCAGGGTTGTGCGGTGGGCCAATGACTGGACACGGATTTAGACCCAGGTTACTCAGGCCTCCAGTGGCTGTTTTCTGTCACTCCCTTTCCAGAAAGCAGGCTGCTCTAGATTCATGTGCTGATTTAGCAAGTGAAGTGCTGTGTAACCTTGGGCAAGGAGCTTGACCTCTCTGTGCTCTGGGTTTCTGTAAAAGGCGGCCAGTGACCCCTTTGACCTCATAGGATTGAGGTTAGGGTTCAGTGAATTCACAAAAGGTTTAGCAGAAAGGAGCCCAACAGGGATGTCACTGGATTCCGCGGTGGAGAAAGCTGGGACTCAAGAGAAGCCAGACATTCAGAAGATTACACTGCGCGTTTGAGTAGGATTTCCCCTCTTATTTCCACGTCGTCACACCACCCCGAGAGATGCAGAGGGCAGCCGTGAGAGTGACCTCCAGCGAGTCTCTACCCTCTCCGTATCATATGCAGGGGATTAGTGGGGAGTAAGGGGATGGAGAATTATCCTTGAGTTCCTCAGGCGCTGTGGTCCAAGTTCACAGCCGCTCCTGCCCTGGGTGGCCAGAGGGCAGACTTCGCCGGAGGCCTCAAGGAGCCCTCCCCGCCAGGCCTCCAAGGCCACCTCCCGCCGCGGTGCTCCAGGCCAAACTGCACCTTGCAAGTTCCAGCCCTCCGTGTGGACGCACCGCCCACAGCCGTTGCGACTGGTCCCCGGGCCTGTCCGTCTACAGCTTCGCAGCCAATCTCCGTCGCCCTCCAGGATACGCCCTCTGATCCTCTCGCCTCCGTCCGGCCGGCCGCGCCAGCTACCTCGTAGCCCCGCCCTTCCTCCCCACCGATTGGCCGGCAGATCTGCCTGTTTTCTGCCGGGGCTCCAATCCTCGCCTGCCTCCAGGCTCTCTCCCCCCCCCCCAGCACCTAGCTCCCCTCTGGACCGCTGGGGAGACGGAGGGCCTCTCCCAGTAGCCCCGCCTATGCTCGTTAGCGATTGGCCTTGGGGCATGCCCGTCTGCTTGATGCTCTCCAATCACTGAAGCCTTTACCGCTGATTGGTCAGGGAGCGG